TGGAATTGTGCTAAGGACAGAGTTGGCTAATGTCACCCGCCCAGCAAAGGAAAGCAAGTGACTTTTCCAATTAGCTAACCGAGATTTGAATCTATTGAGGACACCAGTGTAGTTTCTCCTTTTACCCCGCCCATGCCAGAGCATAGAGCACAGGTACTTCCCCAGGGAGTTGGCCATCTTGAAACCACTGGCTTGAGAGATTAACTCTTTCTCGTGACCACTAGTGTTCTTGGAGAAGTATATAATTGATTTTTCAATGCTAATCAGTTGCCCAGACATGTCACATAATTCTTTAAGGAAGTTCATCATAACTTGAAGTTGTTGAAGATTAGCTTCTCCAAACAGCACCAAGTCGTCTGCAAACATAAGATGAGAAATAACCGGACCTTTCCTCCCCGCCTTCATAGGCTTCCACATCTTACTTCTAACAGCCTTAGCAATCAGGTGAGAAAGCTTATCCATGCAAAGGACAAATAAATAAGGGGAAATTGGGTCACCTTGTCGAATGCCCCTTGATAGGGAGAAATGGTCCGAAGGGCTACCATTCCAAAGAACCTGGAATATGGGAGAAGAAATACAGGCTTCAATAATTTTGGCCATATGACTGGGAATACCTGCTTCTACAAGGACGTTGCTCATGAAGTTCCAATTCAATCGATCATATGCTTTAGCAAGGTCAATCTTGATTGACATGTAAGCTTTCTTCTCCATGAGTCTGTTCATGGATTGAGTCATCTCTTGAGCTATAATGACATTATCATGTATAATTCTCCCCGGAACAAAGCTTGTCTGGAAAGGAGAAATGAGCTTGTTCATGATAGGCTACAATCGATTAACCATGATCTTGGTTATGGCCTTGTAGAAAACATTACAAAGAGCTATGGGTCTCAGTTGATCAACTTTCTCAGGCTTCTCCACTTTAGGACAGAGAACCAGAAGAGTTTCATTAATTCTCTGAATATCCTCGGGTCTATCCATTAGCATGCGAATATCAGAGGAAATCTTTTCAGCCAGAAACTCCCAATTGCACTGGTAGAAGGAAGCAGTGAAGCCATCAGGCCTGGGTGCCTTGTGGGGCCCCATTTGGAAGAAAGCTCTCTTGATCTCTTCTGAGCTCACAGGGAAATTCAGGTTCCTCACTTCAGTGGGATTCAGCTGGGGCCAATGGTTTGACGTATCTTTCCATAACCTGATGGGACAATCTTCTGAGAAAAGCTTTAGGTAGAAATTGGATACCATGTTTTTGATCTCAGTGTCCCTTTTTAACCAGATTCCAGCTTCACTTTTCAGAGCAAGGATTTTATTTTTCCTTCTCCTGTTAATAGCTACAGTGTGGTAGAATTTGGTATTTCTGTCCCTATCGCGAATCTAAGCTGTTCTAGATTTCTGGAACCAGAGTTGTTCCTCATAATCAAGTATAGCATCCAACTCTCGACGCAGATCAACCTCCAGATTGATCAGGTGCAGATTGAACCCGGATTTCAACGCTCTTTGAATGCCCCCAAGTCTACGCAGTAAAGAAGATTTCTTTCTGTGGATTACTCCAAAAGTATTCTTATTCTAATCACGCAGAATGGGGACCAGGCTATTTAAGTTAGTCACTGTGCAGTCATTGTTGTTCCAGTTATCAGCTAGAACTTGCTTGAAAGAAGCATGCTTCATCCAAGGAGAAAAGAATCGAAACGAACTCTCCTCCCACTTATTGGAATCTTTAAATAAGGCAATCAGGAAGGGGTTGTGATCCGACTGGATTTTAGGAATAACATGAACCACAACTTCCTCAAACTTCATTCTCCATTGGACATTGGCGACAGCCCTATCCAGCCGTTTGTACATTCTCTTAAGATGAGGGAATTTTGGCCCTTTCCAGGTGAAATGAGGGCCAACACTACCCAGATCAAGAAGCTGACAGTCATTAAGAATAAAAGTAAATTGGAAACATTTACCTAGATCCACCGGAGCTCCACCTCTCTTCTCTGCTGCCTCACTAATTTCGTTAAAATCCCCCGCAACCAGCCACAGAGCCTGATACTGGAGATTCAAATGCCTCAGATCGTCCCAAAGCTCTTTTCTTTTTTCACTTTTGGATTGGCATACACGACCGTGAAGATGAACAGAGGATGATCAGGGATAATGACTTCAACCAAAATAAATTGGGCTTTTTTTCCAACAACTTAACAGACACATTACCTTGATTCCAAAGGATCCATATACCACCCGCAAAACCAATTGCTTCTTCCACAATCGAATTTGTATACCCCAGGCTCCAGATCACTTTATTAGCACGCACACCACTAATTCGCGGTTCAAGGAAAACCACCAAGTCACTATTATAATTTTTGGAAAGAGTCCTCATAATACCTTTGAAACACTTTTTCGCCGCTCCACGGCAGTTCCATACTAGAACCTTCATTGGACAAGAGGAGATTGGGTAGTGGAAGGACAGGCTCCACTTCTCCCATTTTCCCCTCGCTCAGCGAGAGGTTGAATCGATCTGCCTCCCGAAGAGGGATTCGTTGGGCTGTTGCTCCTCGATCTATGGAAACCAATTTCCTTGCTCCCAGCGGTTCTCTGTTCTCCTTCCTCTCCATCTCGTGGTTACTCCGGTTACGATTTCCTCCGAGGTTGATTTGCATGCAGTCAATGGCACTATTGAGCGCAACTTCACTTTCCTCCTCAGACATATGTCTCATGAACTGGAGCGTATCTTGTTCCCTCTGTTTCTTACAGTCTGTATCTTCTAAAGTCTCTGATTCTTTCTCTCGCATAACACTACCCTTTGTTGCCACGTCAACTGGAGCACCGCGAAGTGGATTGGGCTTGACTTCTACACTTGTCTGTCTCCGTTAACCCTATTCCCCCTGCAGAAGACTGGGTCATACTGTTGGGCTTCGGATTGCACTGGCCCAATTTCTACCGAGGGATGGATTTGTGGGCTATTAACAGGCTGCTTCTCAGCTGGGCCATTAGCCTTCGGTTTGGGCTTAGTGGCTGCACCTTTTCCATGGTTGACTTGAGTAGGTAGCGTATGATTACCTGTTAGAGTACCTGCTTTTTTGTCGTTCTCCACCTGATTGGCCACTGCCATGGGGGATTTTGCGCTCAGACTGGCTGCAGACTGAACCACTAGCGCTGTCTGCTCCACAGCAGAAGCTAATGCCTCAAACCTAGAATAGGTGCTACCTACTTTGACCCTACCCTTCGTCCCTTCACTGATGTTAGCCCCCTTGTTAATATGAATCGTCGGGAGCTTGCTCTTCTCCTCCGTCTGGCCTGTGGTGGCGAGTTTTGGTTTTCGGCCCCTGTTTTGTCTCTAGACAACCATCCATTCACCGAAAGCTTCTCCCCTATTTACCTTAGATGAGGTTGTTTCCATTTGTTCCAGACTTTTCCTTTGAGGACTTTCCAACCCTTTGGTGTTATGAGTTTCAGTTGATGAGTTTCCACTACAAGAGTCTTGCCTATGGCCATAGCACCCGCATTTGAAGCAAACCAACTGTAAACCTTCATAGCCGACTTGAAAAGTCCTGCCCAACAGCTCTAACATAGGAATAAAAGTCTTCCTCAGGTCTACTTCTATGCAGATACGGGCAAATTTCCCTTTCTCTGTGCATTCTGAGTACTCTCTTACTCCTCCATCATACTTCCTGAGTGAGTTCTTGTCTATCTTTAAAGTCTTGCCAAGTAGGTTGCCTATCCTCCACAAATGGTGGGAGGTATAGAGTTCAAGTGGGAGACCCAGGATTCTCACCCATACTGCTAGTCGTTTCACTTGTTCGTCATACGGGTCAAACATTGGCCTCCATCGTTGAACCACCACATAGTGTCCCACTACCACCCAAGGTCTATCCTGCAGGACGTGTAAGTAGTCCCTCTCCTCCCTGAAATTAACTAGAATAAACCCATTATTCAGGTCTATTACCTCTATTCCACCTCCAAGACCCCACATTTTGGTTAGTCTATTCATTAGGAACCGGTTACTGATTCTTCTACCCAGCAGCTTTAGTATAAGGGCCTTTGCCCATCTTTTGCAGTCCTCCTTATGTTGTTGCTTGGAGATGTAGTACACAGGGCAGAAGGGGTTGGCTTGTTCCACCAGGGCTTCTTCCTCCATCAACCCGTCTTCTTCTTCCTCTCTCCTTTGGATGGTAGTCGAATCCTTATCATCATTGTGACCTCTATCTTCTTCTCCATTGAGTTGGAGAACTATATCTTTATATGACACAACACGTCTCCCGACACAAGGACTCCTTGGGATGGCATCAGCTGCTCTCCCTTCAGAGGTCTTAACTGTCGAAGGCTCTGGGCTCTCCTTAGCTTGGTTGGTCTCTCCCATGGTTGCATCTTCCCTTGTGACATCTTGTGTTTTTTCCACTCTTCTTTCCAGCAAGTCTTCCTCTTCTTTGCCTAGCACCTCTCGCTCTCGCTCCACACTCTCCACGAGATCCGATTCGGCCTTCAAATCTTGAGTCTAGTTATATTAACATCGACTTGTTTGATAAATGATATAAACAAATTATATTTATTCCTCTATAATATGTTTGGAGGAAAAAAGAAATAAATAAATTTTTATTTCAAAATAAAAGATTGAATATTTATTAAAACGGTAAGAGATAATTATTCTTGTCTACACAACTCAATTAATAAAATTATGAAACATGCAATAAAAGCGTATGATCAGTTCAAATGCTATAGTGTACTCATTTATTTTACTTTTCCTTTGTGCCCGTATGCTCTTTTATAAAAAAAAAAAAAAATTTAATGAGTCCTTAGTAAAATAAATAATATCAGACAATTACAATATTACATAAGAATTTTATATTTTTCTTCACACTTTTATAATAAAATACAATATATATATATATTTATTTATTTATTTATTTATTTTTTATTTTTTTTAAGAAAAACTCTGAATTATCCGTGTTTCCGTAGTCTATATCCATTTCCGCTTCCTAAATCCGACGATTCATACATATACATCACACTGGCACGCAGCGCTCATCGTTTGCTGTTTTGGCGGGAAACAGCATAGGGGGAAAGAGGGAAGGTGCGAAAGATGGCGAACAAGCTCATCAACCAGATGGGATTGACCAAATCGATCGCCAATATCTTCACTGCTCGCAACGTTATCACCGCCAAGGTAATCTAATTCCAATTTTTCCCCCTTTATTTTTTTCGCCTTAGATTCGGTTTTCATTTTTGCTCAAAAAATTTGCTATATCTGTTCAAATTTGAATCATTCACCTTTCCCATTGTCAATTTTCCTCGCCTATCATACGAAATCCTCATTGTTAATCACCATTCAGATCCTGATTTCCTCAACTTCGTCCGTTGAGTCGCTAATTCTTTATTTGTACCAGCTAACTAGCTACGGTCTTAGTTTTTCTTTAGAATAGAGGATCTGGAGTTCGTACCTCGATTCATTTGAGAGTAATGGTACATTTTTCTTATTTCTACTTTTATCTTTAAAAAAAATGAAATAAAATCGCAGGATGCATTGTCTCACACTGAATTTGAGTTGATGCAATTGTTGGACGTTGGGATGTCAGAAGTAACTTCTGCAATGGCACATATCAGTGAAGTCGTGTGTCCACCTTGTCAAACTGTATACATGCTCTTCTTTCTTTCCTTTTAGATTTTTTTTTTTTTTTCAAATTCAATTTTCAGAAATTACTGAATCTTGTGGTAATACTGTAAACAGGCGTTGCTTCTGATGGAGCAGCGAGTACGCAATGAGAGCTTGGCCGGTCATCTTCCCACGGGTTTGAAAGGATTGGATGAAGCCTTGTGTGGTGGTATACCATTTGGTGTTTTGACAGAGTTGGTTGGTCCAGCAGGAATTGGCAAAACACAGGTATATTGGTTTTTGTAACATTTGACATCTGAATTCGTACGAGGATGCGTTTCAGATTTGGATAATGGTAAAGTTTAAGAATATTTTTAGTCACCATTAATCAGGATGGGTGGATTTTATATCGCAGTTTTGCTTGAAGCTCTCACTACTGGCTTCATTGCCGGCAAATTGTGGAGGCTTAGATGGACGTGTGATATATATTGATGTTGAATCCAAATTTAGTTCAAGAAGGTAGTTGATGTACACGGGCATTGTGTTGCTGCTTTCAATCCCATGATATTATTTATTATTATATGTTTTGATTAAAAAAAAAAATTAAAGTATCTTCTGCTGGTGAGTTTACCATTTTCCCAGATTGATTGAGATTGGAATAAAGAGTTTCCCTGAAATATTTCACAGGAAGGGAATGGCACAGGAGGTATGCAGGTTATTTTTCTTTTCTTATCTTTTGTCAGGGTTTTCTATCCCATTTGAACTTGACAATGTCTAGGAACTTGATGAGAATTATCTTTTACTTGAAATATTGCAGATGGCTGGTAGAATCCTGGTTTTGCATCCTACATCACTTTCTGAATTTGCTGAGAGGTGTGAATTTCCATGCAACTTGATTGTAGTTATTCTCAGCAAGGCAGATAGATATATAAGAACTATAAGAGAAGTAGATACCCTATTAATAGGTTCAAGGATGAGAGCTACTGATGTTTGTTCATGTACAGTGAAACCTGAGCAGTCGTAAAGAGACAATACAATAGTTTGTATAAAACTTTGATCTCTAGAGTCTAGAGGATTGTCATAAAAAAATTTAAACTTTAATTTAGAAGGACATAGCAACAATAATGCAACCAAAACGTGATAAGTAAATAGTTTTGATTAGCCAAAAAAAAGAAAGATTGATTTGTTTTTATATGAATTCAATTGTTATTAATTATTGTAGGTTATTGTAAGGTTATTTATTTCTTTTAGCCTAAATCTCATTCAGAAGGGCATAGTGTATCATGATTTGCCTTCCGAACGAACTAGAATGCTACTAGATGGGTTTAGTTAAAGTCATTCTGTTCTTTTGTTCTTATATCTGTTTTCGTCCTCTTTCCAAGTTGAAACCGGTTGCTGATACATCATACCTACTCTGTCAAGACCACCTTTTTGTCTCAGTTCTGATAGAAATGCATGTTAACCGAAAATAACATACTATTATTAACATCTTTAATTTGAAAGTCTCTTAAAAGAACAGTATCAGTGACGGGGAATTTTGTGAGCAAAGCTGATCTCTAGTTTAGAAGTAGCCTAGATATGCCAATTGGGTTTTTGTTAGTCTTAAAGTCTGTTCCTGATTCATGATACTCTTTACTAATCTACTAATTTTTTGTGTCAAACTTGCTACTTAATACATGCAACAGATTACGCAAATTGGAGCTGTGATAGCTCCTATTTTATTCTGCCTTTTCTTTCTAAGTTTCTAAAAGATAACTGAAACTGTTCAATGTACTAAATGATGTGTTAACACTATCAGTTTGTACCAGATCAAAGTATCACTCCTCCAGCAACAAGTAAAGTTGCTCATCATTGATAGCATGGCTGCTCTAGTTTTAGGGTGAGCTTAACTTTTGGGCAATGATCGTGAATACTCTAGTCAACGGAGCTCTCTTCAAATGCCCATCGAAATTGTAATTATTGATTACATCCTCCTATTCATGAATGTTTCTCATGCATAGAAACTGGTCAATTTTTTCTATTCAGTGAGTATGATTGTGGGGCTTCTAGACAACAAGCATTGGGCTGGCATGTATCTTTTATCAAGTAAGAATCATACCGTTTTTACTGTTACATTTGTGAGATTCTTGCGAAGAGGGACTACAGGTTTCTTCCTTGAGCGGTTCTGATTTTGAACGTGTCTAGGTCTCTTGCTGAATTCTCACGAATTCCAATTGTACTGACAAATCAAGTAAGATCTCAAATTGGTGATGAATCTCTCATGTATTCCTTTCAAGGTATGATGAACAAATTATATTTAGCAAAACTTTAAACTAGTAGATTAACATCTTATTGTATTTGTTAAGCAGCACAGGGGCGCTGTATAAAAGAAGATAATCCTGCTACATATGATTCTCGTCTTGTTGCTGCTTTGGGAATTAACTGGGCTCATGCTGTGACCATCCGTCTTGTACTTGAATCCAAATCAGGTTGATTAGTTTGCAGTGATTGTGCCCTCTTCATATTAAAATGTATTTTTCTGTAACAAATGTTTGTATAGATGCCACCTGGACTTAACTCAAATTGCTGGAGTGGATGGGATTTGGGTAGAGGTTGTATCTTATGACTTCCAAGATACCAAGTATCTGTTACGTAATAACAAGTTCTATTGTGCTTGGAGTCTTCCACCTCGTTATCTGTTTGAACCATAAGAAGAGAAAAGTCAGAAATTAATACCAATTATTAATAATCTGTCATTCTGTTAGTAAAATAAGAATTTTATGTGGATGAGTTTTATTAAATGTCGCCATTGTTAGTTAAAATTCTGATAAGTTTTCGCCAAAATTGGTAAGAGATTCGAGTTGAAAAATATTATGGTCAGCTGAAATTTTAGCAATTACTAACGAGAGTCTGAATAATTGTGATAAGTAACACTGACCTTATATCCAATTTTATAATAATAATTTAGGTGTGTCTGAATTATCTTATTTTGTGTTCCAAATAGCTGATAACCTAAATCTTACTAAAATAGTTTTTGGAAAAAAAAAGAAGAAGAAGAAGAAAGAAAAGCTGTTTTCCTGAAAATTAATCAAAACCAAACATACACTAGTTGTCTAGGTAAAGTACTAGTACTACACTCCAACTAGTAAAAGGCCAACCTAAATAAACTCAGGACTTACTAACACAATATAAGTAATAGAAGTATTTAACTTAGCTCAATAATACTATTTAACATAGTATCCCTAATATTCTAATAAGTTCCAATATGTCAACCACCATTTAGTTATTGTAATACATGATTATGTTTGTATCACAAATTTGAATTTCAGAAGTTCAATTTCTCGCAGGTCAAAGGTTTATCAAGTTAGCAAAATCTCCCGTATCACCCCCTCTGGCTTTCCCTTTTAACATAACTTCATCCGGGATGGTTCTGCTGGATGATGATGGGATAGAGATGAAGGGTTCAGAAATAAACACTATTCACTGCCAAGGTTTGTCATTGAGCTTTCTTGCTGTTAACCTATGATGCACGGGCACGGGCACGGGCACGGGCACGGGCACGGGCACGGGCACGGGCACGGGCACGGGCACGGGCACGGACACGGACACGAACACTGACACGAGACACGACACGCCGACACGTTAATTCTAAAAAATGGCATATTTCGACACGTTGGGACACATTTTGATATTAAATAATATTTTTAATATATATAATATAATTTATATTTAATACATATAACATTCTATAATAAGTCATATAACCAATCAAATATTCAAATTTTATAACATAAATATATAAAAAAATAAAAAATAGTACTTTGTTAATTTTTCATGTCAAATTTCATAATAGAAAAAAATTGATTTATACATGATTTTTTTTATTTTTAGTTAATAAAATAAAATTAAGACTAAAAATAAAAATGTGTCGGAGCGTGTCGGAATGTTGACCACGTGTCAAAAAAAATTGACCGCGTATTGGAAAAACGTGTCGGAAAATTGATCACGTGTGTCAAAATGTTAACCGCATGTCGGAACGTGTCGGTGTCCGATACGCATTATTTTTGAAAAAATGGCGTGTCCGGGTATCTGAGCTGTTAACTCTACTGAATACATTTCAAGTGAGTACCAAAAATACTTGGAAAGTTAAAGCCGTGGCATCTATAGTGGATGACATCTGCGATTTCTTGTTCTCTCTTTTTATATAAGCATGATTGCCATGGAAAAAAGTTCTTGTCCAGGTGGAAATTTTATGGATTAAATGTTTCATACATGAGGTCTAGATTGCCTTCTTGCATGAGTAAATAAAATATGGGTAGGGGTTCACTTACACGAAGTCTTGGAATACTTAAAACTCTTTCATAACTTTTTATGAATCTTTAATTTTATCAATCCAATTGTTGGATTGAAACTTCTTATGAAGTAGATCAAGTCTACAAAATTTCGCAACATTAAAAAATCAATTGATACTTCATTGCACCACATTATTTTAACAAATAATATGATATTTAAAATATAAGTATATATCTACACTTATATTACATGCTTATGCATGTCCAAATTATCTAGCTAGATCATCAAGATAATATCATATAATTCAATAGTTGGATTGGTTAATTCTGCATTTTATAAAAAGATATTAGATAGTGTAAGTGCCTAATACTGACACCTGGTGTAAATGGATCTCCTCCCATAAAATATTACTGTCCAAAGCATTACTGAGAAATATGCAATTTTATGTTTTTTTCCTAGGGTTTCCTTTGTCCTTTGTTTGTTTTAACATATTAAAGCTCAAATCCTGACTTACCAAATTTAAGTTTCATGAAAAATATGCAGGCCAAAATCCTTTGTTTAATTTTGAAGGGGTATGACTCCAATGATCTGTATACTATCCATTTATCCTTGTTCATATCTGTCCAGTGAAGGGAGATAAGTTGGGAACACCATTTTAGCAATCCGTTTTCTTTCATTCTGACGGTTGTTTAGTTAATGTTAAATTCTTTCTTGGGATGTATATATTATTTTTCTAGGCTTTCATACTTGAGCAGGAGCTTCCATATTTATTTTTCCCTGTAGTATAACCTATAAATTAGGTGGTTCTGTTGATTTATGACATATTTTTCCACATCTATTTTCTTTATTGTTGTCATGAGATTATTTATATTAGTTGAGAAACTGAAGTCTCATGTGTCCTGAGGCTACAGTGACGGGAACATGAAATGTGGTTAAATTTTATCAGATGATCTAGATCCTTATATTTAGTTGTGGACAGTTGCAGGTATCCAGCACTGACATTATCACCACTAACAGCTTTGTGCCTTTTCTTTGTGCGATATAGGATAGATCTGTTTTTTTCAACTTGGCTTCTACTTTAGGTCACCATCTTGTATCACCTAGTTTGATGGCCGGGTTGTCTAGGGAGTAGGGACTTTATTATGAATTGTGAAAATTATGCAACAGACATCTGCGTAAATTTTTTAGTACATACATCTGCGTAAATCTTAACTATGGATGTAGGACACTATATAGTTTGAAAACGTTGACAATGGTCTAGCGTATACCTTGCTACAATTCTTAACGACATGAAAGGCCTAGATGTTGAGTATCATAGAATACAACTTCATGTATGGAGAGGTACAAAGGTTTTTCTTTCTTTTTGAGTGTGTAGGTTGCTTGAATTTATGTAGACTCGTAAAATATTAAATTAATAAAACAAATGAACTATATCTTCTTATCATATAGTATTGTGACCATATTTGGAGCTCGGTTTGTTTGATGATTTTGAAGGAATGCCTACAAGTTTCAAGACTTCAGGTATCAATTTTGATTCTGCTTAAATTTGGATATGGTAGATTTTTATTTTTCCATTTAATGTAGATATCGCTGAACTAGAAATTCCTATGTAGTGCTTGAGAACTAAGCAGGTGGAGGTGAGAGCATGTGTTTGAATCTCCCCAGTATCATTTTTGAGAGAGGTTTAAAGCTTTAATCCTGGACCCGCCCCGAATCGGATTAGTTGCGAAGCAATGAACCGATTGGAATATTTCCAAAAAAGAAAAGAAATTCCTATGTATAAAGTGAAGGTAGCAAAATCTTTTAGTATCAGCCAGTTTTTAGACAGATGAAAGAGATTAGAATACTTCCCTTTCAGCACCTTGCAAGTCTCTCGTAGTCACCATCACATCAAACAAATCTTACCCTAGGGCCCCAATGCTCTGAATCAAGGATGGTTTTTTTCTCATCGCCTGTGTCGTTTGAAGAGATCTATATGGGCATATCATAGCTGTTGAATTACGTGCCTAGAATTTATTTCTGAGTTCCATTTGACCTTATCTAAACAAGGACTTTGCATAAATTGGCTATCCATGTAATTTTAGGGAATAATGCTGAAAGATTAAATGGTGGTTGATCTGTCAAGTTAACATGGACTCCTACGGGTGCCTTGTTTAAGAGTAGCTCAAAATGAAATAAAATGTTATTTACAAAAAAAAAAAGTTGATTGTAAGCCGCTCGTTTTTATTTTTGTTTGTTTTTTTGTTTGTTTCAGAAGTGCAGCTTCTCTATAAACCTTCCATGTCAAGTAGTATATTCTATCTATAATAAATAGATAGTCGCAGTTGAAAACATGGATGTGAAGTTTGTCCAACATTAGAGATGAGATGAGATCAGAGTTAAGTTAGTGAATTATTATTATTATTATTATTTTTGGTGTGGAACATATCGCAATTCATACTTATGGAGGGCTGGGGGTTATAATGCCACATAAAAAAGGGAGGGGGAGTGGATATCTAGGGATCATATATCCAACCATTTTACTAAAATTAAAGGCATGAAGGGGTTCTAATATGAAAGCAACTCAAACAAAAATACAAAATATGGACCTACGTTATGTCAAGTTCATAGACTTGTATGAGTTATTTATTATAATAAAAATTTCTCTCTTTTTTATAACCATTTTACTAAAATTAATGGTATGAAGTGCCGCCGAAGAGGTTCTAATATGAAAGCAACTCAAAAAAAAAATACAAAATATGGACCTACATTATGTCAAGTTCAAGACTTGTATGAGTTATTTATTATAATACAGATTTCTCTTTTTTATAACACAACCGTCTGATATCCTAGTGATTAGAATGCATTTATCTTGGTTCGCCGAGATGTGAGTTCGGGTTCCGACTTTGGGATCCAATCAATAAGAAGATCGTGAGAAGCCGAGATGTGATCTTTCATGAGCATGAGAACATTCATGACATCTCGAAGCCCAAAGTCCGGGTTACTGTCAGATATGAAGAACCCGTCCCTCCTGTCCGAGCTGAAGCAGGGGGAGAAAATCAAGAGAATGAAGAAATTGATGATCAGCAACAAGCTGATGATGACCAAGACACTGAGGTTCGAGTTGATGATGAGATCCGGGATGAAAATGATGAACCGGGTTCTCAAGCTGAAGAACAGCCGAGGTATCCAACTCGAGAAAGAAGACCCTCTACAAGGTACCCATATGATGAATACACCGTTGTTGCTGAAGACGGTGAGCCTCAGAGTTATGATGAGGATGTGACGAGCTCAGAGAAAGAAGAATGAGAAAAGGCTATGCAAGATGAGATGAAGTCTCTGCACGAGAATCAAACTTATGAGCTGACTGAGTTGCCAAAAGGAAGACGAGCTCTGAAGAATAAATGGGTCTACAAGATTAAGAATGAAGAGAACGGGCAAAAGCCGAGGTACAAAGCCCGGATTGTGGTGAAAGGCTGCAATCAGAGGAAAGGAGTAGATTTAGAGGAGATTTTTTCTCCTGTGGTGAAAATGACCTCGGTCCGAACCGTGTTAGCCATGGCGGCTTCAATGGACCTCGAGGTAGAACAAATGGACGTGAAGACGGCATTTCTTCACGGTGACTTAGAAGAAGAAATATATATGAAGCAACCTGAAGGATTCCAAGCTCCAGACCAAGAAGACTTGGTATGTCGTTTGAAAAAGAACCTCTATGGCTTGAAGCAAGCATCTCGGCAGTGGTACAAGAAGTTTGAATCATTCATGAATGATCATAAGTTTGAAAAGACAGATGCCGACCACTGCGTATTTGTGAAGAGGTATGAGGCCGGAGATTTTCTGATTTTGTTGTTATATGTTGACGACATGCTTATTGTAGGGAAAGATAAATCGAGGATAACCGCCCTGAAAAGTGCGTTGAGCTCGTCCTTCGCAATGAAGGACCTCGGCCCTGCAAAGCAGATACTCGGAATCAAGATTATCCGAGATAGACAGAAGAAGCTACTATGGCTGAGTCAAGAGAAATATATTGAGAAGATTTTGAAGAGATTCAGCATGGACAAAGGCAGAACAGTGAGCACCCCCTTAGCCGGACACATAAAGCTGAACCTAAAGCAATGTCCGAGATTTGATGAAGACAAAGATGAGATGATGAAGGTCCCTTACCAATCCGCCGTCGGAAGCTTGATGTATGCAATGGTTTGCACTAGACCCGACTTGGCGTATGCTGTTGGAATGATAAGCCGGTATTTGTCAAACTCCGGCAAAGAGCACTGGGAAGCAGTGAAGTGGATTTTCAAGTACCTCCGAGGTACGACCGACTTATGTCTCCGATTTGGAGAAGGCAAAGCCGAGTTGCAAGGCTACTCGGATTCTGATTTAGGGGGAGACGCCGACTCGAGGAAGTCGACTACAGGATATTTGATGAGATTTGCCGGAGGAGCTGTCTCTTGGCAATCAAGACTTCATAAGTGTGTTGCACTATCTACAACTGAGGCTGAGTACATTGCCGCTAGTGAGGCAAGCAAAGAGATGCTGTGGATGAAGAAGTTCCTCATGGAACTCGGCCATGATCAAGACAAGTACGAGCTGGGTTGTGACAATCAAAGCGCAATCCATTTTGCGAAGAATTCAACCTATCACTCCCGCACTAAGCATATTGATGTGAGGTATCACTGGATCCAGGATGTGGTGGAAGGTGGTGAGCTCGAACTCGTCAAGGTGCACACTGACCAAAATTGGTCCGACATGATGACAAAGCCGGTTCCAGCAAGAAAATTTGAAGACTGCTGTGAAGGAGCCGGGTTGATGCTGAAGCCGACGCATTGAAGTCGGAGGGGGAGATTTGTTGGGCTTCCTCCTTCAATGCTAAGCCCAAGCCCATTTGAGGGGTTTCCTACTAAAAACCCTAACCCTAATTTCCACCTCCTCTATATATACTCATTAGTTGTGGGTGGTGGCTAGGTCAGATTTGAGAGAAAAATTTGAGAGAATTATTTGATTGTTTGAGCAAAGCTTTATGCTTTGCATTTGAGAGATCTCTAGAGAGAGTTTGAATGAAACACCTCTAGGGTAGTTTGATTATCACCATTGTTGGAGAGGTTGAGTTAACCACCACATTGGTGTATTTGATTATTTGTAACCATTATTTTCATAGTGGATTTCTGATCTGGACTAGGTCCCGTGGGTTTTTTACTTCTTCATTCAAGAAGGTTTTCCCACGTTAAATCTGGTTGTGTTCTTCTTCTCTCTCTCCTGTTTTCGTTTTGATTTTTCCGCTGCGCCGCCTGACCTGGTGAAGTTCAGGCTGAGGTATTGCCGAGATCCGAGATCAGGATCTTGTTGATTGACTTCCGCACAAAGGCCCCTGAGCCGAGCTTGAGGGAACCGAGTTTTCCCAACAACTGGTACTTAAAAGAATAATGGCAAGGGAAACCTTAATCCCAGTCTACATTCACCATTTCAGTTATTTTAGTTTTTGATACAAAATATGCGATATGCAGGATTTGAGGCAATTATACAAGGTAATGGTATATGTTTGTTTCTCAAACATTTTGTTTATTATTACTGCTAACATGTGCGTAATTGATTATGAAGATAATATGCCATCTGATTTAAGACTAGTTAGATATCGAGTTCCAAATACATAAACCTAGAGGAGTATGACATTATACTAAAAGGTGCAACATGTGATTCTCGATTAGATCCCAGGTCCATATATCTTGATCCTTAATATCTTAGGAATTGCATATGCATGACGACAATGACAACTTTT